GAGTTGAACTCCTGCCAGGCAGCTTCCGCTTCCCCCGTCTCCCCACCCACTCTCTTTCAGAGAGAAGTAATTTGACCCACAAAAGGCTAGGTCTTTGAGACAGGAAAGTATTTCATCCATACACTTTAAGCCGGAGAAGTTTTCCAGGGTCCCATTGAAATTCTGCATTACCCCGATATTTCCAAGGAAAAAATACCTACTTTCCTTTTTAAAATAAGAATAATGAAGCTATATATATTGTGTTCTGAAACAGGCATGTAAAAGCAAGATTTGAGAAAGTTTGTTCATTTTAAATAGCTCTTTAATTTAAAGCAGAGTTAAGATTCCCCTGTGGATTCTTAGAATCTTGAACACTTAGAAAATCTCTGTTTACTTTATTGACTCCATGTGACATTTAAAATAGATGTCTAAACCCGTGCAGCGAGGGCGGTTCTTCACAACGCATGCACACTAGCAGAAATGGCTGCAGACAATGACTTTGTCCAAATGTAATCACATCTGCTGGGTAAATATTGCCGTGTCTCCAAGAGAAAATGTAATAAACTCCCAATTCTGCTTCTCTAAACACCCCAGTGGAGGTGGGGGTTCCCCCCATCCTCTCCAACTCATACGCCACAGAGATGATCAGTATACATGGCGCCAGGGATTGGCGCCATCCCCGTCATGGCCTGCAGGGAACTGGAGTCTCTTGACAAGAGGAGTAATCAAGAGGGTTGTCGAATGAGACTCCTGGCCCTGCATAAGTCAATTCCCTGAGTTTTCATGTCCACGTCTGTCCAATTAGAGTCAGTAGATTATCCTCAGGCTCAGCCAGTCTGGAGAGTTCCAAGATGCTAAGCTATTCTTTGCCAGTTAGCAGTGAATCCACCATAAAGCTACTTCAGTGACCTCCACCACTCCTGGGCACAATAAAATCACAGGACTGGAAAGGGGGCACACTCTCACCTACTCTCTCTTTACAAGACCAGCCTCAAGGCCTTCAATACGTACTGACCCAACAGCTCGTGGTCCTTTGGAGGCTTTCAAAGAACTCGGCAGACAGATAAAGGACTTATTGGGATTTACTGACTCAAAAATCTGTTAAATGATATTTTATATATGAAGTACGTTATATGACATATTATATTAATTCACAAGATAACAGAAGTCGCTTAGGAATAAAATTGCTAGCACAGAAAAGTCTGAGAGTTCATATCAGCACTACCATGTTTGTGTTTTGTAGACACAGCATTAGCAGACGTTCACTGGGTGCGTTGAATGCCAACTGAGTCCTTACTATAGACTGCCTAGCTCAAATGTCATAGGAGAGATCATGTAGCTGGCCCTGACACACTTATTGAGTTTGGTCTTGAACTTAATGCCAACCTCTACATAACCAACCCTGTGGATTTGAAATGCTAAACTAGTTTACTTTCATGACATGCCTCCAAAAGAAGAAGAAGGAGGAGGAGGAGGAGGAGGAGGAGGAGGAGGAGGAGGAAGAGGAGGAGGAAGAAGAAGAGGAAGAAGGAGAGGAAGAAGGAGACGGAGAAGAAGAGGAAGAAGAAGAAGAAAAATAAAAACCCAGCTCTGACTATCTGTGTTTTGATCTAGACAAAACAATTCTTTCTTTTCTTTTTGGCTATTTTGTTGTTGTTGCTTTTTTTGTTTTTGTTTTCCAAGACAGGGTTTCTCTGTAACTTTGGAGCCTGTCCTGCCTGGAACTAGCTCTTGTAGACCAGGCTGGCCTTGAACTCAGAGATCCACCTGTCTCTGCCTCCTGAGTGCTAGGATTAAAGACAGGCACCACCACCACCAATCAGCCTAAGAAAACAACTCTTACTGAGTGCTGGGAGGTCAATTTCAATGCCCTGGAGGATGGTCCTGAACCTGGTAGCATTTTATTTTGAATGCATTTAGAATTTTCTGTCTTGCTATTTCATAACTCCAGAGTATCACTACCGTTGCCAAGGAAATGGGACTTGCGTTACTGACATGGATCCAAAGGGGTTTGTTTGTTTTGTTTTAAAATATTAAGAAGACAAAAATGGAAAGATCAAATAAAGGAAGTGAATTTACTTCCTTCTCCCTCTTCAAAAGCCACGAAATACAAATCTGATCACATTTAAAGAATGCAAAGAATCAGCACATTTTTTTTCCCCAGCTAGAAAACTGACATCCCATCAGCCTGGTAGATATTCTCAGAATGTGCTTCTCAGTCTCTGTTCTGGGCGCAAACCCTCCAGAGTTGTGACTCTCCCTGTGTGGTGCAAAGCTCATAACTACATTTATCTGAGTCCCAAAAGGTAGATTCTAATAGAGATGTGAAAAAGATCCCAGCGCTGACCCAGTTTCTCACGGTCAAATAAGCCGAAGGCTTTCACTCATAATAATGGACTCAAACAATTAGATTTTTGAAATCTCTCTCTCTCTCTCTCTCTCTCTCTCTCTCTCTCTCACACACACACACACACACACACACACACACACACACACACACACACACCTTTGGAAAGAGATATCATCTTTGCTTCCATGAACTACACTGGTCCTTTTCATCAAAATATCACATGCAGCTGAAGAGAGCCTTTACAACAAGGCAACTTTTAATCCAAAAACCTGTAAAAAGCAGGGTCCCCTTCAAAGGAAGCTGATAATATAACCAAGATGCTCCATCGCTACACCTGGAGATAAACGGGAAGTCATTTTCTTTTATATTTTTTACAATTGAGAAGCAACTCACAAATTCCAGACCATCTATCCTAAAGTAAACATTTCTAAGTTCTAGTAAAGTTGCTGCTCAGGAGCTGAGAAGCTGTCTATGCCCAAGAGCCAATGTAAGAACTGCACGGGAAGAGTAAAAACCAGGCTGACCACTCAGGAAACGTACGGAGTCGATGGCCACGGAGTTCTTACATGGGACCGTGTGAGTGGAGCGTTGGCTTCATCACAGGCAGCTTTGTTCACACAACCATTGGCAACTGTCCAGGCTTCAGCATCCACCCCCACTATGGACCGACAGATCTTTTTATAGAATGTGCAGGGGGAATCACCTACTTCTGATGTGGTTTGAATTTGAACCTTAGAAACTGTCAGAATCTTTCCATCAAAAGAAAATGTGAAAAATTTGGCCTAACACACACGGGTGTCCTTTATATTTCCCAAGCGTCATCTCGATTTTTGCTTCTCTCTGTGTATGTAAGGAGCTTTGACCAACTCAGTTCAGAACCCTGACCTGCTAAATGAACTTTTGGCCAGCCCTCTTTCCTACCAGACAGGGAAATCAAATGAGTTCGGCCCAGGGGCAGTTCAGGGAGGCAAATGGAAGCATCAGAAGTTATCTAATTTCAGAGAAACCTCTCTGAGTCTTGTCTCATCTTCAGCTAAGAAATGCGGTCTTCCTAAACTTGAAAGGCATTAAATAAAGTTGGCTCTTTGACTCTGGCTTTAAGGCAACTATGGCTAGGAAGTTTAACCTGTTACTGTGAACTATAAAGCAACCCCATGGATGCAAACATACCTCATACCTACCTACTTTGTAAAGAAAGTTTGAAGGGGCGGGGCTTAAACTGCTTTGCTATAAAGCAAAACGAACACAAACACCTTTAAAATTAGAGACTGTGAAGAACTGCTCAGAGGCTGGGAGTAAGGAGGACTCTGTTTGGAGCCAAGGTGGTTTTGTGGGTTTTGTTTAAATAAAGATGGGGTTTCGTCTCAGTTTAAGAACACTTAAGCAGGGGCTAGAGAGGTGGCTTGCCAGCTGAGAACACTTAAGGACTCTGTAACAGCCCCAAATGCTGTTCAGGAAATGGAAAAACAAGTGATCCATAAGAAACCAGAGCAGCGCTTGGAAAATCCTTGCAAAGCAGTAATAAGAGGAAGCCCTTAGCTTGGTCTGCAGCGTTTCAAAGATAAAGTGTGAATTGTTGAAGCATTTCGGTTCCAGAGGCAGAGAGATTCTAGGAACTGGTTGGTCCACAGCAAGGGGGCTGGAAGGAGGCTGTACCTCTCTTAGAAACTTTCCCAGGGCTCTGTGTCCTCTTCCATCCCACCCCCACTTCACCTCTGGTGCTCTCATTTCCTTCCTCCGGCTCACTGAATTTTCACAGGTAATCCTCCCTAAGTCCCTGTCCTTACATCATCTCTACAGCCCCCTGCAGCCCCCTCTCTCTTCTCCAGTAGAACCTGGAAGACAGAATGAGAATAGGAACCTCGAAGCCTGCTTATCCTAAGAGGAAGAAGTGCCCATTCCTAAGACTATTCCTTAGATTCTGCCTGTTCCCACCCGACGCTGTTCAACTCAATTCGGTGTGGACCACTTTCGAATTGACCCCCTTGGACTCAGTTCTAGCAGTTCTGTTACCACCACCTAGTCAGAACCGTTTTCTGGCGTTTCTGGTTCCTCTTTACCACCTTGCTATTTTATTTAACCAAAAAGAAAAAAAAAATGCTGGAGACTGAACCAAATAAAGACATCCACGGGCAAATCCATGGGTGAGTTGTAAGCCTGATAGTCATGGACACAGTTAAATATTATTACGACCTCTTGGCAAAGAATGTAAAGAAGCAGGATCCAAACAGCAGGGGGTCAAGCCGTTGGCTAACATCACGATGTCCCACACCTTTCTCCTTTTCTTTCTGTCAGATGGGAAACAGCAACTTCAGCTTGGTCTCTGATCCCCTCCCCCTTCCCCTTTCTAAAACAATAATAATCCTCCCCCAAGCCAGTAGGACTTCCCCAGCCGGACCTCACCGAGGAGCCTTGGTCCCGCCTGGGGTATCCCTCTCCACTCCACCTGAGAGCGTAGAGTTATGTGAGAAAGCAGGTAAACGGTTGAAAGTTTTTTTTTTTCTTTTTGCCTTTTAAGAAGGACTGCTGGTCCTGCCGCTGTTCAGAACAACAGCAACGACAAACAAGCCAGACTGGGTGAAAACCCAGTGCTTCTCAAAAGTTGGTCTGGCTACGCAGCAGCCCTGACGAGTTTGCAAGAACGCGGGGCTCGGAGTTGGCATCTACTCACCTGGGTGTGCCAGCCTCGGAGACTAGAAAGAGAATTCAGCCCGGGACAGGTCTGTCCCGCCCCCAGGATACAAAATCCGCCTTTGGAGTGGAGGTCCTGGATGGTGTAGTTGTAAAGAGGTCTTAGAAGGGTCGGGCTTCCCTCCTCCCTCTTTGGTCAGCTGGGGCCAGTTTAGCAACAGCCAAGAAGGATAAAGATGCTGGGAGGAGAGTTTGGTCGCTCTGGAAACCCCGACTCCATTCTTGGGGATGGGGGCGGGGGAAGAGGTGAACAGCGTGAAGGGAGCTGCCAGGCTCGGAAACTAGCAGAGTAAAGAGGAAGGAGCTGGGGAAGGAGGGAGGGAGCAGAGGAGTGAGAAAGGAAGGAGAGGAGGAAGGGAATGGGGTGAGGGTGGGAGATGGCAGCTTCTCACTGAGATTTCCACCTTCTGACGAAACCCTTGCGCCCAGCAGCCCGGCAAGATACTAGTTCCTAAGCCTCCTCTCCAGCGCCCCCTGGGGGGATTCTAGGGACTGAGCGACGCCCCGCCCTGAGCTCAGCCCTGGCGCTCTCCATGGTCCTGCCGCGCCCTCAGCCCTGATTCTCAGCTCAGCTTTGCAACTCCCACCAGCTCCCAAGAGGCACGTGATTCATTTCTCCTTAGTCCCTGATAAAGAGGTGGAATCACAGGAGCAGAGGGGAGAGAGTAGGAGCTATACTTTTTTGGCTTTTACATACATTCAAGGAAACTTCTTGACCAACTCAACTGTCACTAAAAGTGGGGGTGACGTTGAGTCCTTATTTGGTATTTACATGTCAATAAAGGCATGAATAAATGAACGGACAGCTAGTCTTCTCTTCACCTCAGAATGTTTTGATGAATACAAAACCTCACCAACAAAGAAATGCTTGGAGGATGTATGTTTAAAAATAGACCTTACGGCTGTGGTTGTAGCTCGGTTTGTAGAACGCTGTCCTAACACACAGGGGACTCGGTGGTTCAAGCACCAACATCATACAAAGTCAGGCATGGCATTGCATTCCTGTAACCCCAGCATTTGGGAGGTGAAGGGCTCAGAAGGTTGAAGTTACCCTGAATTATGTAGGGGGGTTGAAGTCAGCTTCAGCTAGAGATGCTGTCTCAAAGAGCCCCAACCAAAATAATAGGTCTTATTTAAGGAGCAACCACTACCACATATTATAAAGCACTTTGAGCACAGTATTGAGCATTTACACAAGAAGTGGCTGGGTTTGTTGCTTTGCTTTGTAGTTCCACTGAACAACATCTCTGTCCTTAGGAGGCAGTTTGGAAATGATGGCTTTTCTGTTACAAACATATTCAAAGTCAAATTCAGGCGAAGGAATGATGAAAAGGCACACCAGGCTGCTTTCATTTGTCTCCGCAGAAGTAGATAAACTAGACAACCAAAACCTCCCCGCATATTGCCATAATCAGAATAAATTAGACTTCAAAATCCATAAAGTAAAATGAATAAAAGACTCTGGACTTGGGAATGATACAGGGTTAGAAGTGATGGGCAAGCACACGGGTGAGGGAGAAAGGGGTCTCCCTCTCTACCCGTTGAAATAGTACACAACACGGCAAGATCTCTCTTTAGGTGAAGGGCTTGGTTGTCAGCTTTACCCCGCTCCACTGTTCTCAGTTTCAAAGGCCAGAGAAGGATAAATGACAGGATTAAGGCAAAGGAGCCTCACAGATGATTCCAGAAAGGAAATGGGAAGACTTTTGAGAAGAAACAGCTTCCAGAAAAAAAAAATTAACATTTTCCTTTCTCCATTCACCTCACAGGCCATTCTACGATGGCATATTATGCCACAGCCTGGGAAAATAACCCTGAGAAAATCTGGCTGCGCATGGAGCTTACACATGTGTCTGTGGTTTGTCTTGACTGCAAACACCTGGGTCATGTGATTATGCACAAATCAGTCATTGAGGCCCTGGCATGTGAGGTCGCAATAAAGGACAGGCCCCAGTGTTTGGAGCATGAAATATGCTCACAACACCCCTGGAAACAAACTAGAGTTTCATCTGAGTCACACCGACTGCACTGGAAGGACTATCCTCCCAGGAACACTCAGGGTTTCTTCCTAGGGGAGGGGGATGGGTTCTAGGAAACTCACTGTCAGTCACCACCACGCCTGCCAATCCTTCCTAGATTGGATTCAGTAGCACGTGCCCTTAGAGATGAAGTCTGTGTTGGACTAAATCTGCAGAGATGAAATAAGGAAAAGAAAGGTCCGATTTGTTTTCCTTGCATGTTGACTGTGAACTCTAACCTTGAAATTCCACCGAGGGGATCCCCTCTGTTAACTGGTTCATGATTGGAGCCACAAAACCTAGGAGAGCATCTCCACTTAGCAGACAATTTAATACACAGCTATTAAATTTAAAAGAGTTTTTTTAATGTCTTATAGACCATTTCACACAAACCTCTTATTTTATAAGCAAGAGAAAGGCAGTTGCGATGTGCTGAACACATGTGATTTCTGGTATCAGCCTTATCCAGTGTTTCTCCTTATCGACCCATATTTTCAAGGCAGCCTTCCCAAGTAAGTTTTAACCTGTCTCCCGCAAACCTGATTCAGGGGGCTGGGATAACCAGATCGTGACTTAGTTGCTGCGTATTACTTGAAACAAGCTCTGAAGGTGCCCAGCAGCATCACCGTGGACTATGAAGAAGTTAGAGTCAAAACCAATAGAGAAAACCCTAGTACAGTTACCCCTCCCCCTTTGCATAGGCATGCAAACTAAACACAACACCAAAACTTGCGACTGCCAGCAGGCTTTGGCTCCCTAATTAGAAACAGTTGCCGGCAAGCCAGTGCGCAGAGCACGTGTGCAGCTTTATGCCAGGGTATTTTTTTTCCTTGAGGCATGACACTGAAGGTAAAAGCAAAGAGGCTTTTTGCAGGGTCCATGGGCAGAACTTACTCCCACCTCGCATACGAAACCAACAGCTGAGCCGCACGAACAATTTATAACCAGCTAATAGGCTGTCTTCTCCATCACTGCCCTACAGCGAGTTGCCCACCAACCAGCCAGAGTACCCTCAACAACTGTGAAATCAAAACCTCCCTTGCTCTGGGTCACTCACCGCCTTCCGACTCTCCTTTTCATGGATTCTGTGTTGCTGGGTTCTACAGCCATGGTTAAGGTTATCTAAAGCCAAGCTGCTGAACTCGGTGGCACCAACGTTCCCAAGCTGAAAGGAGGGCTTCTGCTGTGGGTGGCTTCACTTGCTGGGTCCGTTTGATAACATAAGGGAAGGCATCCGCTCTGTGTCCTATGCCAGTATGAAAGGCATCTCACCCAACAGGATGACAAGTCAAAGGCTGGAAGGGAGCCAGGGAACAAGAGGGAAGGGATATGAACTCTTCCCGGTGCAGTGGAGAGCATTTTTAAGGGTGGCAGATGATGAAGGGAAAAAAGCAGATGGAGAGTCGCTGCCCTGCATCAGAAACCTTGGCTCCTTCCCTGAGTGAGTCAGGGTGAGCATTTTGTTTTGAAATGGAGTTTCTGTTTTCTTTCTTTCGAACTGTAGGATGGTTACACACTCAACCAGTCAAGGCGACGGCTGTAAATAACAGGATTTATTTTTGAGACCGTGGATCAAAGCAAAGCCTTGAATCTCACCCCAGGGTTATTTATAGCCCGAAGGTGTGTCTTTTTTTTTTTTTTCCTACTTCATGAAATTTTGAGAACTGGGGATAAGTTTTCCATGCCCTGCTGAGGTGGATGGTGTTGCTGGAAAGCAGAAAGGACTTTTCCAAGGAAGCCTTTCCAAGGCGTGAAGAGTCAAGGGAGAATTTGCGTCCCAAATGAATTCTGAATCACATGTTCCAAACTGAGACAGAGGTTACAGGGGCCCTGTATGACCTGTCAATGTCTCTAATACTCGATAACAAGCCATTCTATGGAGGGGAACCTGATGCTTTTGTCTGCCAATAGGTGGCATCAAAATCTCTCTAGCTTTTCCTCCCTAAATTTTAAAAGCCACGAGCACACGGCATTTTCTTCCTGAGGCTTTCCAGTTTCCTGCAACGGTGTTTGGATGGATGCTAATTGAGCCTGTTAATCACAGCAGGTCATCTTTTCATCTATGAAGAGAGACTCATTCACTTTTCTGAGCCTCAGTTTCCACATTGTAGATAGAAGGTTCTTGAATGGACCCCAAGACTTAGGACCCTGCTTCCCAAACACAAATCTTCTCATACACATCACATCACATGTCTGCAATAAGCCCTCGGGACCTCATTCCTTTGGGTTGAAGGAACATTTGCATGCATTTAGCCCCTTGTTGGACATCCTGCTGTTTCCCCACCTCTATTCATATCTCTTTTGTTTTGTTTTGTTTTGTTTTATGAAGAAAAGCACAATTTTCTGAAAGAGAGCAGTGTTCCCAGCCCCTGAGTCTATGATTTCCAGCCTTGCTTCTGGGTTGGTTAGTCATGTGACTCAGATCTAACCTATATACATTTGCATTCATTAAGTAGAATTAAAAATGTGTTTTTGCAGTTTTCCTAGCCCATACTGAAAGGCAGGAAGTCCTAGGTGGCTAGTAGCTAACATCTTGAAGAGTCCACACAGAACCCTGTCAGCCTTGTGGGACGTCCTGCTGCTACTGACTGTTCAGGAGCATTACAGAAGGGAGTGGGGTGACTGACTCCACTGCACCATGTATTTACGACCTTGGCCCTTCTCTTGTTTCTACCCAGAGTGAAGCAGGTCAGACACTATAAGGCCACAGAGTAGCATTTGCTAAGACGGGCTGAGCAGAAAGATAAAAGGAGCCTGGGCTTTTGATACCCGGAAGACAACCATTATCTCCAGGTTTGTTTGTTAGGAGAAAAAGAAAGCCACCCATTGATTCAAGCCATTATTCACAGCTTTTTCTTCCTTAACACCAAATATTATTTCTAATTGATGTGTCCTCGGAACATTATGCAGACAACTTTGTATTAATGGTTTTAGGCAAATAAGGCTCTTTTTTTGTTTCCTTTATTTGGTCAGAGTGGAAGACTCGATGTTAGCTAAAGGAGACAAAGTAACGTGTACACCACGAGAGAGCATTATGGAGCACTCAGTTCAAAACGCCAAAGAGACGAAAGGAGCGCAGATGGGCATTAGCAGCAGCTGAGATGAATGTCTTCCAGTTTATCTTTTGGCTGAAAAGCAGCTATGACTTTTCCCGGAAGGGAGGTTGGTGGGTGAGGACAGAAAAGTGAAATAACTTACTGGGGCTAGGGACTTGACAAGATCATCATGGTGGCCTCTCAAGACAATCCAACACACTAAGCACCCATATCATCATCTCTTTTGTTCATAAACTGAGGCCCAGGGATTGTAGCCTGTCAAAGGCTGCACAGCTGGTTAGCTCCAGTGCGAGTTTCACATCCAGATCTTACGGGTAAGGGTGGTTACCACATCTCCTAATGAAATCCACTGGTGGGCGGAGGCTGCTTGTTCGTTTCCCGGCCACCCAGACCTAAAACAATCACACAGGAACTTTATTAATTAAAACA